AACACCATTTCTTCAAAGCATAAGTAATATTATCGTTCGGTTCGGTGGGCAAATTATATTCGTATAAGGAAACACCGATTTCTAGCATCAAATTTGCAAGCTCATAAGTTTCCGTGTAATATATCTCGGGTTTGAACAAGCATTGATATCCTTCTCTCGTAGATGATCTTGGAATATCAAACATGCTGTCTTCATTATGTTTGCCGAGATATTGAGTCGGTAGCTACGTCCAATATATGAATCTTTTGGGCTTCTCGATAGAATAAGTGGTGTATCTTGAACAATTACAAAGAACGGTGATAATTCATTCATTCAGGAACCTTATTATCTTGTATCTATGTTTATGTGCATTCACCAGTCATTATCTTTCCACAAATTCAGGACCAAAAATGCTAACTTTAGGGTTTCTTGATCAGGGGAGGTTATCTCAGAGGAGTACTCCTTGGAGTATGGAACCGATAAGATTGAAATGCATGTGGGTGCTGTCCAGCCGGGTGAACGTGCTCTTGTTATAGACGATCTCATCGCCACTGGCGGCACCTTATGTGCTGCAATCCGACTACTCGGTATATGATTCATATATCTGTGATGATTCATGGAAAAACGGATAGTTTGCCTTCATGTTGTCTGATTTCTTCGATCATTGTTTTCCGACATGCTAGAAAAACTCAATCTTTTTGTGTTTGTTCTGTAGAACGTGTGGGAGTGAAGGTTGTTGAGTGTGCTTGCGTTATCGAGTTACCCGAGCTTAAGGTTTGGAATCTCTCTCGGGTTTTACCATCTGTATATGATCTACTGTTACAGTGTTTTCATGGTGTAATAAACCCGTATGAACTCTTTCTCTTGTTTATACGTTTCGAAGGGCCGGGAGAAACTAGGGGAGACGCCTCTGTTTATTCTCGTAAGCTCAACTGAACCCGAGAAGGAGACAGAAGCTTGAGAGAGGAGTCTTGGATGGAAGTGAAGACCCTTTTGCTCCATTGAATCAAAGTGTTGATGGTTTTTTTTATAATGTTCGGTAACACGTTTCTTTGCGTTCTGTTTAACATTCACGAGTACCCGATTAAGATTTACGTGGTTTGTGTTGCGACTCATCATCTATGGACAAAAAACATGGTCGGAAATATGTCTTTGAGAGTTCTTTGATCCGTTGGTTTTTCGCAGTTTGTCAAAGTTCTGTTTCGTGTCCGATGTCTTAAAGTGTTGGAGTTTCGGATTTGTGCCACGAACTCAAAAGGGGTATCGGAAAAGCCCTTGGTTATGGGTGGCCTAGCTAGAGGCAAGGCGAGGCTGCGGGTTGCAAAAGAAACTAGGGTTAGTATTTTTTTTTTTAATAAATTGGGGATTAGGGTTTCGACTTTGAGTCTTACCTCATTTTAGGCTCGTTTTCAAACGAGGCAAAAAAACCTCGGTTCCTTAAACTCACCTTCTCGAATTCACTCTATCGTGATATATGTGGATATTTGACCCCACGCAGCATTGCGTAAAAATCCGAAATACGAATATCTAATTTTCACGAGATCAAAAGCAAATAAAGATGAAAGTGAAAACCGGGATTATACACCACACCAAGTACTCATCCCCAATTTTGATAATATATAGCCCTTGATTGGAAGTGGTTTGGGAAGTTGTTAAAATCTAAAATCCAAAAAAAAAATGACAATTAAATTTTTATAAAATTAGTTTTTTTTTAAAATTTGGGAAGCCACTTTCATAAAAAAAAATCAACTAAAAAAACTAAAACTTTCTTTTTTTTTATTTACAAAAACCAAAATCTAAAATCCAAAAATCAAAAATCAAAAACCAAAAACTAAAAATTGAAACAAAAAACTCAAAATAAAAACCACTAGTACGCTTTGAATGAGACGATTTTTATTTTGGGTTTTTGGTTTTAGTTTTTAGTTTTTGGTTTCTGGATTTTGGATTTTATAATATTTGAAAACTAAAAAAAAATAGTTTTTAGTTTTTCATTTGATATTTTAACTAAAATAGTTTTCTAAATTTCGAGGAAAAGTAATTTTATAAAAACTTTGATTAGTATTTATTTTTAGATTCTAAAAACGAACATAGTCTTTTAGATTTGGAATCTAATTTTGGGTTAGTTCGATCGCGTGTGTGACATGTGAACTGTGCTGAATGGGTAAAAGCCCAATTGGACCAACGGGAGTGTAATTTTAAATTTTAGGCGATTTTAATGCCATTTTGATTTGTGCGTGACACGTGAACCGTGCAGCTGACATTTCAGGTTAAATACATATATATAAATATAACATTTTCAGATTATATATAGATATATAATAATATATAGTGAAAATAAAATAGAATGGAATTATGGGGTGTGGTAAGTGGGAAGTCCACGTTAGTCTGTAGCCCCACTCGTGCACGTTACATTTATTTTCAAGCACGCGTATACAACACATAGTTGCCAAAGTGACTGAAAATTAATAGCCATTTAATCAAACCCCTAATCAAAGCTCCTTTAATTATACATGTCAGCAAGTTTTATTTATTAAAATACATTAACTATCACAAACTTATAAAATCAACAAATAAATTTTTAAATTTGTGTAAGCTGTTGAATTTTTTTATAAAACGATCAAATCTAAGATATTGTTAATATTATTAACGGATGGACCGAATACAATCAGACAACTTGGGGATCCATGTCGAAGTGGGAGGCAAAAAAACCTGTTTAAATCGCATGCTCGAAAAGATTGGAAAGTGTGTGTGTGTATATATATATATTATACTTTATTTTTTCAGATAATATAAAGGAGGAAAAGTGAATATTGTTATAATATCTTTATATAGCTAATCGAAAATCATGTAACGTGTGGAGAGTAAGAGAAGACAGGTAAATGACACTTGGCACTGGAGGAATGAATGAAGGGAGTTTTATATTATTAGTCAAATAATTATGTGATTCTTAAAGTTAAATTAAAAAAAAAATGAATACATAAAAAAAGACTATTATCTCCGAGGTTATAAAAAAAAAGGCTAGAAATAGAATTTGATCTGTATACCAAAAAATCTGAATGATTCAGCTGAAAGCAACGTATGAACAAAATTGAATAAATTGTTTGTTAATGTTACAAAATAATAATAATAATAATCGAATAGTTTATAAATGGTTTTGCGGCATCCGCCACTTTAGATGGTTCATGAATTGGGTAAATAGATTCAATTTTTTGTATTAAAAAATTAGTGGATTGTAAGTTTTCATCTTGAAGCTTCATAACAATTACGAGTAAGAAGATATTTAAATTAATAAAAAAAATATGATTTTTAAATAGTCATGTAATATCCTCACGTCACGTCCCAATTTAACATTTTTAACCATACAATAGTACTGTATCCTGATCATCGTATTTTTCCTTATTAAAATACCATTTAGGGATCTATAAAATTGATTTTTCGAATTTTTGGAAAAGACAATGAGATTTTCATAATCTTTCGCAGTAATAATTGCGCCAAATTTGTTGGTTTAAATGGAAAATTTGTAAAATTCAAATGAAATGAAAAAGATAATTTTAACAAAAAAAATAAATAAATGAAAAAAATAATAAATGAGAGAAATGTGTAAAGATAATGATACTGTCCCCACCCCCATCGCGTACGAGTCCTTTTAAAAAATTGGGTTCATAATAAGTGGGCCCCCAATAACCCCACATATTAGTGGGCCCAATTTGGGCTCTCCTCCAATCTTTTCTCCCCTTCCTAAGTTATATCCCTAGGCCCTTCCTCTTCCTTTTTTTTTCACTTTTTTTTTATTATTATTATTCGGTAAAGTCCAATCTATTTTTTTTTTTGAAATAATATCATTAGGTTTGACTTTTCTACGTAAATAAATATACATAACACGCGCATGTGTATAATTTTACGCATAATTCTAATTGGGTGATGTCACCTTGTTTAGTGGATATTAATCTCTTAACGTAAAAAAATATTTTTAATTAACCTCGCGTTAGTATAAATGCAAAAGCCCATGTTTCGATAAATTTCTATACACGAGGGGACATATACTAGCTATAATGCATACTATATGCATGAAAAAGAATTGATATGAATGACAGTGAAAACAAATGATTGTCTATTTTTCCTTGAGAAAAGAAAAATGATCAGATGCGTGAAAGAAAATAAAAATAAATAAACAATAAAAAGATGGTCTCACACACACTATGTATAGATTAAAGAATTTATGACATTTAGGGATATTTATTGCGTTGTCCAATCAAATAAAAAATTCTAACATTGTGCCTTGATTCCCAACCGTAATTTTATATTTATTAAAAAAAAATAAAATCTAATGGGTATATTATCATGAGGGGATTTTAACTTGAACTGGTGAATGAAACTGTCAACTCACCGCAAAAGCTTCAACACTGTAATAATGCTGTGTTTCTCCGCGGCTCTCTGTCGGAATACCATCTTATTATTAATAATATGTAACTGTACTTATCACTCAAGAATATAAGACATGGTTTCACTATGAAACAACACACGGGATTGCCTAACGCATGTATCATCATCATCATCATGTAGGAACGCAGAAGCCGAAGAAAAAGATTTCTCTTGGGATATACTGCAAACGGTTACCAATTTGGTATCATGTGATGTGAGAAACTGATTACACCACACAATTCCCCATTTCAGAATTTGAAAACCTAACTAAACATTATATATATTTGGGCATATAATAATATAAAAAAATGCATGGAAAAGTCATAACTTTTGTCCTCCACATATGAACCCAATAGCACACATCACTCTCCCTTTATATACAGTACCCACTCTCTCTCTCTTCCTCTCACACTCTCCCCCCAAATCCAAACCCATATCCACAAAATCAACAGTGCCATCTCTCTCTCTCTCTCTCTCATCAAACAGGATGGGTCAGAACATACTCGAAGCCCTGAACGTGCGGGTGGTCGGGTCGGGCGAGCGAGTCCTCGTCCTCGCCCACGGCTTCGGTACGGACCAATCGGCGTGGCATCTGATCCTCCCTTTCTTCACCCAAACATATAGAGTCGTCCTCTACGACCTCGTCTGCGCCGGCTCGGTCAACCCAGACTACTTTGACTTCGATCGCTACACTACCCTCGACGCCTATGTCGACGACCTCCTCAATATCCTCGATTCCCTCCAAATCCGCTGCTGCGCCTACGTCGGCCACTCCGTCTCCGCCATGATCGGAATCCTCGCCTCTATCCGTCGCCCAGATCTCTTCTCCAAGCTCATCCTCGTCGGAGCCTCCCCTAGATTCCTCAACGACGACGATTACCATGGTGGGTTCGAGGAATCTGAGATCGAGAAGGTTTTCTCCGCCATGGAAGCGAACTACGAAGCTTGGGTTCATGGGTATGCTCCTCTCGCTGTTGGGGCCGATGTTCCTACCGCGGTGAGGGAATTCAGCTATAAATTAAAATTCGAATTCCTGGAGCCTTGAAGCTTCTATTCCTTTTTTTCCTTTCTCTCTCATTTTGGGGAGAATCGCCTAAACAACGATATACTTTTCATGTCTCAATTTAATAACCTTACTTTTTTTATATAAATAAATAAATAAACTCTTCTTCTCTTTTTGTCTGTCGGACTGTCTTCAACAGCGATCTGAGAGGGGGTCTAGGGTTCGTGAAGGTCCCCTGTTGCGTGATCCAGACGGCGAAGGACGTGGCAGCGATCTGAGAGGGGTTCTAGGGTTCGTGAAGGTCCCCTGTTGCGTGATCCAGACGGCGAAGGACGTGTCGGTTCCGGCGTCGGTGGCGGAGTATTTCCGATCACATCTCGGCGGGAAAACGACGGTGGAGACTCTGACCACGGAGGGGCATTTGCCGCATCTTAGCGCTCCGGCGCAGCTCGCGCAGTTTCTCCGGCGAGCTCTTTCCCGGTGAGAGAAGGTATTTTTTGGGGGATTATTTAACTAGGATAAAATTGGGGTGGGATTCAATAATACGGAAAAGATGTGGGGTCTAATTGGAAATAGGGAGGGGGTGATGCGTGGGAGCTTGGAAATGGTCAAATCAAGGATAAGATTGTCCACGTGATTTTCACGTGATGACGAATCTCGGCTTTTTCCTTTCACCACAAAAAAAAAAAAACACTCCATGAAAAAGGCACTTTCGTTATAAAACAGTACAAATGGTGATGTCTTGTTCTCTCTCTCCTTGTCGTTGGAACCCGAGAATAATATGATTGTGAGATAAACGGTGGTGGTTATAAAAAAATAAATAAATAAATGGAATATTACATTTTACGAATTTGCCTACACGAGTCCTTTTTCTAATGTTCTTGTATGTGTATTCATAGTCATACAAGAACCAAATGCCGAGTAAAAATAAAAATAGAAGTTTCATGTTTAAGATAGATTATAAAATCCATACCTTTGCATTTGGTTCAAAGAATCTATATGTCAAAAGATGGACCCACCCAAAAGAGAGTTGCAATTTACTTTTAATCTGTTCTCCAATTAGAATTCTCCATTTTGAATCGATTGACATATATATATATATATATATAATTTAAACGAATCCGGTCATAATTTTTAAATTTTAATTTTTTTTCAATTTCGGTTCTGTGTTATTTTGACTCTCGGAGGAATATTTAATTTTTTTAATTATTTAAATGTATATCTCTATGCTTAAAATATTATCACAAACCAACTCAAACCAGTTCTTGGATTTATTTATTTTTGGTTCCATTTTGTGCCATCCACTTTCACATTTCATCCATAAAAACATTTGTGTTCTGTCCATTTCATTCTCCCCAAGACTCTGATACAAAAATTGCATGGATACGGTCTATGAATTTGATTTTGAATCTATATCAAATAAGCATTTGGATCATATTATATGAACTTATCAAATTGTATCCATAGAGTTCAAAGTGTGTTTTTTCAACATAATTTATTTATTTGCTAAATATTTTTGACTGGTACACTTTAATGTCGATTTTCACTGATAAAGATCGTTCAATGATTATATCACACATCATTCATGCATATTTCTCTTTTTTTCAACGCCTATGGATTAGTTTTTAAAATTTAAAATCTCGCATATGTTCTAGACTTCTAGTACCGCATAATTATTTACTTTGATATTTTTTGCCTCCCAAAATAGATTAAATTTAATCCGAAAAACATTAGGGGATACTGAATATTATGAATTAGATAATGTGAGGGAGTCTTGCCTCCCAAAAATAAATATAAAAATAATGTCAATTTTCTCTAGTGCTACAGATGTGAGGAAGTCTCTGATTCAATCAGAAGTTAGGCTCAGATTGGTTTAGCGGTTAGGCTTAGTCTTCGCGTGAATAATATTCTTTGGATCCGAAGTTTGTCTTCGTGTGTTATCATATTCCTTTTTTTTATAACGGAATATCATATTCCAAATAATTGATTACAAGGTTCAGCAACTACATTGACCAATTTAGATTTTTCATTTTCAACTATTAGTATTATTATTTATTTATTTTGTACGTTTATGTATATGAGAATGATATTTTTTATCTATTAGAAATTTTACTATATATTTTTAATTTTTATATTTCGAAAATATATTTTGTGCACACATTCTATTAGATTTTAGTCTGATTTTAATATTTCAATTTAGGTTAATTTTAAATTTTATAAAAAATCATTCATACCTAAAATATACTTTTTATTCCACACTTTTGTGTTTTTTTAATCGAATTATTTTTATATTTATTTTGATAGAATTAATTTACATTAAAATTATATTTAATCAATTTTAAATTCAATTAAAATTTCATTCCTTATTTACTTTTTATAGATCGAATAAATAAAGAAATGTTTCGTATAATATAATCTAAAATAGGAAAAAAGAATATTTCAGAGAGAGAAAAATATTCTGACAACGTGGCAACATGATTTCCATTTGGATTGTCTTTTATTATATAAATTAAAATTCGAATTCCTGGAGCCTTGAAGCTTCTATTCCT